TCCACTTCCCTTTAACGAAGACACAACAGAAGTGTTGGGCTCCACGAAACGTTCAGACAAATCCACACACACCAGCAACTGGTCAATAAAAAATTGTGTCAGTGTTAATGTCACCTCTTCGGTACTGCACATGGCGCCGGTGATAAGAATCAGCTGAAAGAGCAGCGCCCCACAGGAGCCGTATGTCTGTCCCCCAACCCACCCTTCGGTGACAGGCAAGTTGAGCAATGAGGCAAGAACGGTGTTGCACAACACCCCAACAGCACACTCCTGCAGGGACTTTGCATTGAAAGACTGCAAATTGGCAAAGGGTGCAAATGAGCCCATCGAAACATCCGCACTCATACTCCCACCCATTTCAGAACGCAAAGTAGCCTCTTCAACAGGCAAGAAAAGTTGGTCAAGTCCAGAAGAAAGATGCCTGTCCTCTTCGGAAGAACTAGCAGCGTCTGTCATCTGGTCCATCCTGCTGCCACTGCCGCTGGCAGCACGCGCGTCGCCGTCCTCCGGCAGTGATGCCACCTCTGTGGAAACAGGAGTGGCAGCCAACGGTGGTGACTTGGGAACATCTCCATCACCATGCAGAAAAGAATTTGGTGTACAAGAACTTGTTTGCCTTACGTGAAGCTCTCTGGGAGCCGATGCGGTTGACGGCATGTGCAGTTGGTTTTCAAAGTATTTCTCACTTTTTGCCCTAAATTTCTCTTCCCTTTCATCCCATTTATTCTGCTGGTGTACTCCGTGTTGCCATTGTCCTCTTTGCTCTTTTTCTTCAACTGTGCTGTCATCATCACCATCGGCATCATCATCATGTTTGGTCTCCTCTTCAGTGACCGTGTCGTGCAACACCGGCAATAAATGCGACTCATCAGAAATTTTCACATGAGGTGGAAAAAAATCGCTGCCCGCCGTGGTTTCCGTAATGAGTCTATGCAGCGACGTGGTCGAAGCGATAAAGGGCAAATCGTCGCCTTCGTGTAGCCTTAGTTTTTCTTCAAATCTTGCCGAAACGGCTTCCCGCTTCAGGAATGTTCCAAAAAAGGCCAAAACCTCAATTTGATATGGCGAAAGTGTACACGGCACAAAGAGACCTGGCTTAAGCGGAAGGCTCTGAAGTGTGCGGAGTATAAAGAGGGCCTTTTCTGGCTCCACATCCGACACCATAAGGGGCGTGTGGCCACTCACATTCTGCTGCCGCACCCGCCTATATCGTCTGCGTTGAATGGCTTTCCATAAATAAAGGCACACACGCAGCGCAGCAAACGCCCTATGATACCTGCCGAATTGCACGGGTGTCTTTTTGTTACCAACCGTCATGTCTTCTTTGGAAGCATCCTTCTTGAGTGAAAATGGGATCGACCTACCTCCGGTTGATACGGACACTGAGTGGCCCGTTTTCTTTGCCTGTGGGAGAAGTCGCCTGGCATATATCTGAAGCATAAGTATGCTACATACCCGCGCAAGGCTAAAATATTTGTGCAGGCGGTAGGAGCAATACAAACGCCGCTGCATCGCAGAACTAATGTCAGACGGTCGGAAACAAGCAGGCGTGGACGATGCCGCAGTTAAGTATAACGTAAGCAATTTAGAAAAGATGGGTAACACCACGGCGTCTAACTCCGGCGTCATGGAGTCCAAGATCCCAACCAACTGTTGCAGCATCGGATGTTTTGATGAAAGGACGTCAATGCGCTTCACGGCACCCACGCTGAGGCTCAGCAGGAGTAAAAGTAAGTCTTCATTCAGGCAATGTGGGGAGAGGGTATGCACAATGACTGCGGGGTGATGCATCACTTCATTGCGCAGGTCCATATTGAACCGCATCGCCTCAAAGAAGAGTCGTGTCGCGTACACAACACATGCCACATCTGCAAAGCGCGAGACACACGCAGCATACCAATTTAGATCCACAATTATTCCAAAGGCTGCGGCAAACGTCCCGTTGCAGCAGCACTCCACAAGACTGCGGAGAATCAAACAAGTGGTTTCAAATGCACCGTAGAGCGTTACACTTATCTGCGAAAATCGAGCTTTGGGAATTTTGACCCGCAAGGCGGGTTGATGGCGACTTGTCACCTCCACCTCCACCGGCGTGAGCACCGCCGCCGTAGACGCAATGACATGAACAATATTTGGTTCAAAATCCGTTGCAATCATGATGTGCTTTAAACATGAAATCACGCGGGCACGTAAGACAAAGGGAAGCGAGACATTTGCGTAGACCAACCCGTTAAGAACACTGTCGACAAATCGAAAGGGTATAATATAATAGGCGTTTCGCCTCGCAAAACGGCACGAGGCAACTGTAAACAGTCTCTCCACACCTTCTATCAAATAGAGCGCAGCGTCCAGTGGCATATCAGCAAAAAGTTCAATATCCCGAAAAATGTGATCAAAGACAAGTCGATTTATAATAAATGGGTGGAATTCATCATTGACACTCATCTTCGCTGTGGCAAGATGCAGAAGACTGTCGCAAACAGCCGGGGTGATGAGATGGGCAAGACGACGAAGATGAAAGTCAAGTAATGCGTATGTCTGTACATCCATAGTACCTCCACTGGTGGTGCCCCGGATGCAGTTACATGTAAGTGCCATGTATCTTTCCAACTCCTCCGCACTGGTGGACTCTGCAATCCACTCAAGCATGTAAACAAGTCCACCTCGGTTCAAAAAGAGCGTGCGGTAGTCAATCCAATTTTTTGGCGCCTCGGCGTAGGTTCCAGTCAGCTTGGCCACAATCGGGTAACCCCTGGACTCCTTCTGTAGAACGTCAACCAACATGGAATCACGAGTTTCATAGGGTGAAAACACGGCAATACGGTCTTCAATAGGCAACTTCTCATGCGTCTCCGACAGCTCACGTGGTATCTCGCACTCAAGAATTTTACATACATTCGGTTTATAGCCCGTCGTGGCAACATACGCCTCCACCTGAGGTGTCGTCAGCTCCTCATCCCACAGCACAACCTCACCAATTGAGAAGAGGGAATCGTGCACAGTGGTATTTACAAAACCAATGTTCATAACCACCTCCGAGTGAGAACGAAAGTAGGGTAATGAGCACGTCCCAACTTTATCAGCATTAAGATAAACAGAGACGGTATGTGCCATGCTCATGACAACAATAAAATGAGCCCATCGCTGAGGTTCAAGATCCGGTAGTGCATGGCCTTCATTAACCGGCACCCTCTTCCCATCATGCATAATATTCACACTATCTCCACCTGCAATGCGAATAGACGCAAGAGATGGCGACAAAACTTCACCGTCAATAAACTCAAATAATTGTATATCGCTATATATTTCTTCAAAACGAAAGTATGCAGAAACCGAGAAGCCCTTCTCCGGCCATCTTCCCAGCGTCACTGCGATACCACCTGTGCAACTAAAACGTAGCTCCGTGCGCTCCGGTGCCTCCTGAAGAATAGGTGTCCAAAAATATTCAATATCACTTCGGTTACCCAAATATGGCAAAACACGGTCTGCCACGGCTGCGTCAAGGTCCAAGTACGGCAGTAAAGCCGTATGTTTCCTCTGCAATGCCCATTTCAAAAGAGCATCGGAGCGTACATTTGTCGTCATCTTTAGAACAAGATGCAAGGCGGAGAGAAGGTCGTTCTCCACATTCATGGCATGTTCGTGTGCATAGCAAAGTAAGGGTGGGACAAGATCAATAAATACCGGCTTCTCCACCGAGCAATTTGGAATGGGCAATGTAAAGTGCCCATGTGTATTTACTCGACGTGTGTGGCTTCGGTATTGATCGTACTTTGAGGTGGCTGCGTCAAGAACGGACTGGGTGATAAGAATAAGGTACTCCGCCCCCTCCAAAAAATGAAGGCTTTCGGTGAACACGTGTACCAGTCGTGTGTCTTCAAGCTTCGGTCCTCGCCCCTGCGCCGACTCCGACAGGGAAAGAAAACAAAACAACTGTCGAATAAGACTAGGAAAACTCTGTACGTCATGCGGGGCACGTAAAACACTTTCTAACACAGCAATAACAGCGTTGACACAACCGTGTTGAAATAACCACGCTCTACGTTCATGCTTGGCATCCATCGATACCTCTGAAGAGACAAGCCCTGCAGAAAATATCAGTAGCAACTGAATCAATAGGGATGAATCTGCATTGCCAATGACCTTCGCGTATGTGGGGTAAACTTCACCAAAATCCAGACTGCTGGCGATGCACTTTCGCCCTAATTCCGATAGCTGGGCATCATTGGCCCAAAGAAGGGCAAACAACACCTTCAATAATTCAAAGGAAAGAAAACCCGGATCTCGCTGCAGGAGAATCACAAATACACTACGCATCGATTTAATGGTGTCACTGGGCTCCGCCCGCGAAGCGTCCTTCTCCATTGACGCAAAGCTGCTGTCTTCGGAGTGCGATGCCACCCAATTGAAGTTTGTGGTGGGCGGCGTAGAAGGAATGGACACCGTGGAGGCACGCAGAAAGTCCATTGTTGTCAACGGCACCCCACCCAATTTAAGCAACCTCACCAGCACTTCCATGAAGACCTCCTGTGAGCGCTTGTTGAGATCCTCATCGTCGTTACTCATCAGAGCCGTGTACCACACCCTTACAACAGGGCCAAAAAGGGAAAGAACCGCTTTGTGAACCCCACCAGATGATTTTGTGGCTCCCTCCTCCGCCTTTTCTTCTTCTGCTTCCTTCACCTCCCCCCTCCAGCGTAAAGGGAGTAGCGGGAGTTCAATAATATCAACCGTCTCGCCTGACAATGGGATCATGTGCAAGACGTGATACACGTGCCAGAGACCCGCAACAATTTTTTGAGCCAGTGCAGCATACATCATATCATCCTCGATGGACGTACACGGATATTTTTCACTCAATTGTTCATGCGTTTCCAGATGTATTTCATGTGAAATATCCTTCTTATTCTTCTCTTCCTCCACATGTGGTACGTCGTAAATTACTACAGGTGGCGTGCACAAACCTTGATCATGTGCCCGCAGCGTCGTTAGAAATGAACGCATCACAAGACGTCCCTCAGATGCCGCAAAAGCGCTAGAACTTCGCATACTGATTTGAGTGAGTAATTTGCAAATGGATAGGCGAATTGAGAGAGGTGTTGTGGCATCTGAAAACATCGCGTTCAACAATTGAGTCAGACTGAGTAGAAGATCCACGTATGTCTTGTTGCTGTACCACCATTCCTCCCCATCAAAATCCAAAGACAAACACGTCGGCGATGGCGCGTGATCAAAAATCACATCGCTAGTACCTCTTTGAAAAAAAGAACCAATAGGCTCATCGTCCGATGGTGCAGGACGTGATGCGGCGTGTGCATGAGTCAAGCCGGCAACACCACTGCCACGGGAAGCCCCCGGCCACACGCTCATCCATAACGATCGGGCAAGATTCGAGGCACGTGCCACACTTCCCTCCGGCAGCGTTGGTCGTGACACATGTATGCTACTAGTGAGAGAAACCATGGATGCATTTCGACTGCACATGCTTCCACTCAACGAATCGCCGTTTCCCGGAACGCACTGTGTGAAATTTTCCACACGTGACACCGTGGATGACCTGCGTCTCCTCCGGCTGGATGTAAAGGGAGGAGTGCATAAAGTCCCTATACTCTGAAAGAGCGTTGAATCAGCGTCGAGAATGGTTGGGCAATGCCGCAGCAGGCGCTCTACAGCCCTTGCCAGATCGTGATTAAGAATTTGCTGCAGAACAATCTCTTGCCGAAGTACAAGTTCCTGACTCCATGGTTCATCGTCTTTTACTTGTAGTAATTGAAATAGTGCCTCCAATGCCATGAGCACATTCTCATACATGGCAATCTGCGTAGAAATGGATGGTTTCTTTTCATCCTTGGGTGATGGTACGATGCTACGAGAGCTAACATCTACGATATGGCATAGACCAATCACAACTTCCGGTGTTTCATGTGCCGCCACCCTCTTCACAGCGGCCACCGCAACATTGAGGGCTTCTCTACTTATCTCATCAAACGCATTCGTTCGTCCAGAAGTTAAGTATTCAGCAAGAGCGGACTTTGTGGCTGGCAAACGCATAGTCGGGGTGGGCAAGGACGGTGTTGAGGAAAGAGCAACGCCCAGTCGCGTGGGGTCATCGCGGACAACGGGGCGAATAAGAGTACTGCTTGAGATGCGTAAACGAAGTCCGTACAACAATTGGGCCACTAACGGTCTGGGTTCCGTATAAATGAGCGCATGCGCACACGCTGCACTTGTGGCACAGCAATGAAGCAAACAACGCAGCATACCATGGATGGCAGAGACAGACGCCCTTGACATTTCTTCCTTTTCCGAGCACACTCGCCACGATTCGTCACAGAAGGCACGAACCACGCGTGTCATCCAGTAAAGGTGATCCTGCTCCGCAAGCACCCTGCACACATGCATGTGAAGTTCCCTCCCCCGTGTCTCCTCGCCGCCTTCCATGCTAATGCAGCCCTTTGGCGAGCAAAACGTATCCAAAAGAAATAAAATATGATCGGTGCCGAGAGAAGAGACGCAGTCTAAAACTTGCAGGGGTGTTGCAGTGGGCGCAAGGCTCAAAAATGTAATCCGGATGTGATCCAGTAGTCCCTCACAGAAACGGTGCAACTCACGCAATGCACCAGTGGAGACGTATGACAACAGGTGTATTTGTTGTCGACTGGCAAGACGCCAAAACGCCACTGCTGCTTCCGCCCAAAGACGTCTTTCTGACAGCATCATTTCAGTAATATCCGACGCCGAAGGATTTGATGATAATATGCGCTGCGAGTCGGTATCTTTTAGATTGACTTGACGACTTTGACGCCCCAATGCCGCCTTCATGGCGTTGGAGAACTTCTCCACCCCCGACAAGTCCCTCTCAGACAACGCTGGCATTCCTCCGTAATTTATTTTTTTTTTCCTAATTTATTTATTTATTTCCCTCCCAACCACTCACCCACACTTTTGTTTTGTTTTCTGTCTTTCTTTCTTTTTTGTTTGTTTGTTTTT